GCTGACGAGTCCTTAATACTTGGAGAGCTTCCTTTCAAAAGCTTCTTCCAAGCGATCTTCCTAAGGGACGGTCTGTTCCAGCAGCACAACTTGTTTTGTGGATTCCGATACGAGGATGATGTCTAGTCGCAGAGTGGTTACTACAATATGACTAGGGAACTTCAGCTGTTTTTCTAGGTCCACTAGCAGTTGCCAGTCCCTTGCAGAGGCCAGTATGCCTGCAGATTTCCTCTTCTTTGAAGTAGGCTGCTCTCCAGCTCGTACGAAGTTAATTCTCTGCTTGGAGGGTCGGGACCGCTTTGCCCTTTCAACTCCAGTGCCGATAACTTCAGCAATGGTCTTCAGGACTCGATCATGCCTCCATCGGTACCGACCTTCTCCAAGTGCCTTTGGGCAGCAGCTCAAAATATGCTCCAGGGTTCCTCGCTTGGAGCACAGTGGGCATGCTGGTGACTCTACTTTTCCCCATAAGTGAAGATTTGATGGACTCGGCAGGACATCGTACACTGACAGGATGAGAAATTTAATACGGTATGGCTCAGCCTTCCAAAGCTCTGTCCAGGTAACTTTCCTATCTATTGCTTTCTCCCATCTCGTCCAGGCTCCTTGTTGTTTCATTCCTACTGCCCTGCAGGATCTAATCTCCTCCACAGTTGCTCTCACCTCCTCCTGAACAAGGCTGTTCCTTTTCTTCCTTCTGCTGAGGTTCACGTGTGGCGCCGGAAAGGATCCCAGCCCAGCTCTGTCTTGTGTAACCACTCCCACCAGCCTCCTGTGCCACAACCATGCCTCTGCCTCATGAACAGCCTCTTCTGCCTTCCATTTTCTGCCAGTCCTCACTTGGATCCCTGCTTTGGCTACTTTCTGGTCTCTTGAGTCCCTGTATTGTAACACTTCTCTAGTCCTTGTTACTTTGAATTCCTCCCTGTTGTAATCAGTACTTCATATACAAGAAAGGGCCACAGAATTCTAGGGAGAATGCCGTACTGGTACACCCAGGCTTTAAACTTCCCTGGCAAGCCAGAATTGTCTGTAGATTTCAGCCAACACTCTAACTCTGTACAGGTGGCATGGATCGATCTTGTGTCTCTCAAAGAAGTGTCGAACACCTTGCCTAGACTCTCGACTTTCTTCAGTACCAATGATCTTGATTTGGCAGGTTTGAAATGCATTAATTCTGCTGGGGATATGGCACCTGGTTAGTGTATGCTGCACCAGCTTATGAGGAATGGAACCATACGTATTTGCCAGGTCTAGCCATAAGACCGATAAGTTGCCCTTATTCTCTCTGGCCTCCCTAATGAGCTGCCACTCCAGCCCACACTACGCCAGTGTGCTCCAAGCAGCCTGGAATACCTGCAACTCCACCCTTCTGTACTGACGTATCGATATAGGTGGACACCTGTGCGTTGTGCTGCTTCTCCTCCTCCCAGACACTTCATTCTTGCTTGGTGGATCTTTAAGCCACGATTGTTCTTGCAGACCCCCCCCCACCTTTTTAAACGCTATTTGAGCAAAAACAACATTCATGGGGCAATCCATTTCAGATTTTGTTGTTGATTTGAAATATGTAATTTAATTGCGAGTTCAGCAAGCAGTTTTTGAGATTTCAGGATTCCCCCATTCATTTCGGTAGGACTTGGTCTTGTTTGAGCTGCCCGGAGGCGTTGAAAATATGGCCGCTGAGTGAACAGACTTTCCTTGAAAGGGTCTTTAGCTGTATCCCTTCTAACCCCAACCGCTGTTCCATATCCTTGAACTTGAATTATTCCTTTATATGGCAAGACTATCAAAGCCAAAGCATTAACTTGTTTGTTTAAACTCGTAATTACAACTTGTAAACTTGAAATGTTCTGAGAGCTACGACTTGGACCACCGTACTACCTGACGCAGATTAATTTAGTCGTTTCTTATACTGCGATTGAAACGCATAATTCAGAGTCTGAGGACTTGGACAGCTCCGAGTTGAATGTCACGTTGTTGTTATCTCGAAATTTTGGTAATTACGACATGGTGCAAATGCAGCCTTTGCTGTAAACGAGAAAGGGTGAGGAGGAACGGTAAAATTAAAACATCGCAATCTATTCATTATCCTGTTTCTGTTGGAAATACGTCAAAATACCCTTTAAAATATAATACAAAAATATGTTTGAAAAAACTTCAACCTTGTAATTTGTTAACTACCCATATGTATGGGCATTCAGAGCTTTATCAAGTCTTAAAATACTATGAGTTGCATTTATATTATATTATAACACACTGAAAATGGTAACCTAAAATGGTAACAACTTGATAGTTACCTGGTTTTATCCAAGTCAAAAACCTTATTTAATATCACTGAATCAACCTGAATGCATGAATTTACAAAGCTTGCAGTGCAGGTTCTTGCATGTATAGCTGTTTATGAAGACTTACATCTTATCATTTATGCAATTCATAATGAGACATTACATAACATGCAACATAGTGCAATACAAAGTTCCAAATTTGTACAAGAAAACTTCTGCTTGAGAGGTGAAACTTTTTTAGTTTAGAGTTTAATAGGAAGTATATTAAACGTTAATGTTTGAGGAGGGAGCCTGGGAGTTCATAATTTGCTATAATTTTATTTTCTTCATGTGGGGGATGGTTTTTATAAGTTAAAGTGTTGGTCCTGGGTTTAAATCTGAACAGCTGACTTGAGTGTAACACAATGGATCCATAGACAACTGAGGAGCCTCAATTAGAATAACAAATACGAGCTGGGCTTCCCCTGTCACACACACACACAATACACACTCGTCAAACACACAATTACCCTCTTACACACCACACACACATATAGACATTCAGAGTATTCTCTCCGTCTCTCTCACTTACGATTTTCACACACATATTCCCCTCTGTCTTTCTCTCACAAACATACACCTTCTCTCTCTTTTTCACTTTCTTCAGACTCTATAGGGCAGAAAACAATAGGTAGTAAATAATCAAATTAAACGCATGTTTTAGCAGAGAACTGCTGGAAGCTTTCAGCCCCATTAGCTCCAGAAAGGAAGGAGGGAGAGGGGAGAAATGGGAGGAATGGACAGGGAGGGAAACAGGGATGGAGAGGAGTGGTGGGAGAGCGAGAGGAAGGAACGCTCGCCAGACCATCACATTTGGCCCAAATGAGGCATACACTAATGCTGCCTCTTCAGAGTATCTAAGAACTGTGTATGTGTGTGTGTTAGAGAGAGAGATTCTTTGGCTCCTGTCTGTATCAACTCATCAGACTTGCAGGCCACCCAACAGAAGCTCTCATCCTGCTTTAAATAGCTGTTTAACTTTGTGCGTGTGTATGTGTTTGCATGCCCATAGTGAGTGCTGGTTTGTTCTAATCAAATCACACAGGGTTTTAAATTGTGGAGTGCACACGTTTGTTGTACTGCATTGTAAACATGTCTCTAATGACCTCCTGGGTTCTTTATGAGTACAATAGTTTTTGCTTCCTCATATATTATCAGTTTAAAAAATCTCTAATCATCAACCAAAGCTGCACCGCCCTTCATCCTGTGTAAAATCACATCAATCTCTTTATCCCAGTTGTGGTTAATTCTGCAGAACAGTTTAGTCCACGCTGCCTTTAGCATTTCTGCAGTAGTCAGCACTGTCCTTATTCATTTTGATTTAAACCCTCAAACCGTTTTGATTTACGAAACGCAGATCAGAAATTCCTACTCATGGAAACCAGACTGAGTGCTTCCAAAGGGCATTGGAATTAAATGCTAAGAGAAGTATGGTGTTAGGTTTTGAGTATCTAGAACTGGAGGATTTATTTTTTTTTTTTTTATAAAGCAAAAAGAAAATCACGTGTCTGTATAACAAATACATTCTTGTTTTTTTATTCTCATCTGTCCCATAGTCCTATTTTTAATCTTGGAATTTTATTATTTGTAATGTTTTTAGAGTCTGGAATAACAGGAATTTAAAGCAAGCATGCTTGTTGAGGAAAATATAATGGTCCAATTATACACCACCACACTGCCCAGCAGGGACAATGTGTTTGTCTGAGGAATATTATGGATCATACACCTTTTTGGTTTAAAAAAAAAAACAAACAAAAAACTTGCAGCTGTTTATAAGCGTTGCAAGATTCAATTTTTTCCATTTTTAATTGTCATTAAATGATATTATGTCAATAAATCAGCATCTTTGAGATATTAAAAAATACAGGTAGGCTACAACAGAATATGATGGCTTAAATGTATAAAAATAAAATAATGACAGGTCACAATAGTACCATCACAAAACCCATCATGGTGACGCACATGACGATAAACATAAACAATAGGCATAGGCTAAATGTATGCATTCAGCATAAACAAATATATTCAAAAAAATCCAAACAAATGTGATGTTTATGCTGGGAATGCCCATTTAGCCATGTTATTTTAGGTTATGTTACTTACCAAAAACATAATTTAAAAAAAAAATTTTACCATTAAAGTATTTCCTGAAATATAAGTTACACACCCTTACCATTTACTTAATTTTTTAAATAATATATAAATTATAAATAAATATAAGACATTTGAACAATATTTTAAAGAAAAAATACATGTGTTGTCTTTTAAAATACAGTATAATTTATGGTAAGGAAACTTAATCAGTCAGCAGGATTTTGCTCTTTCTTTGTAACATTTTGTCTGACATTAGTTTTTTTTTACATTAGTAACGCTCATTTTTATGAATTAGTATACAAAGGCTTAATGTGGTATTATTTTGCTGCTTGCTCATTATAATTTAAATAATACTACTATATTGTTATAATTATCATTATAATTTAATCTGTAACTAGGGATACTGTAATAAAAAACAGTATTAGCATTTGTCACACCTTCCATATTATACCATACAGTTTACATTACATATCATAACATAAAGTGCCAAACACTCTCTCTCTCTCTCTCTTTCTGTTTGTAGGTGAGCTAAAGCGCAGAGAGCGGCAGCGGCACTATTCAGCACTGGTGACAGTGGAGGGGAGTCGTATGTCTCAGCGCTCCTCTCGGGATATTCTTTTCAGTTCGTCTTTTGAGCGCTCCTCCTGTCTCCAGTCCTGTCTCTCCTCCTGTCTCCAGTCCTGTCTTCCCCCCGCGCTCCTTTAAGCCGTGTCGCAGTGAGAGAAAGGGAGAAAGGGGAAGAGGGCGCGGAGAGAATAGCGAACCGGTCTCCGCATCCTTCCAGGTGGCTGCCTCTGAATCAGAGATGAGATTGGGCTCTCGGTTTCAGAGCTGTAAGGCGCTGGTGTTCCGGAGAGAGGCGGCTCTGGTGTGACACCTTCCCGCTCAGCAGTGCCTCGGGTTCGGCTTAAGGTAAGGTCTCGTCGGCTGGGGATAGCGAACGCGCGGCTTATTTTGAGTTTCGTTTAGTGTTGTAACTTTGTGCTGAACGTATTGTGTGAGAGATTTAAAGATGCGTTGTGTTGGAATGTCACGTTACCGGTATCTGACCGGAGATGCTGTGCGTTTAATTTTACTCGCCTTGTCTTTAACCGCTTTATCGGTCTTTTATTAAATTATCATTTCTCTTACGCGAAATCAGTTCTTTAAGCGCGACTGATAACGGTCTCAGGTTTAGTTTTTAAAGAGCAACCGTTAATGCACAAGCACGTGTAGCCTATGTTTGTCGCCATCAGTGTCTTGGACTAATTTAAAGTAGGCTATTTGAAAACATTTTCTGAAATATTATTTTGGATAGCATCGTAAACATTTCAACAGCTCCTGGTCTTTTTAGAAACCTTGCTAAAACAAGGTTTCTAAAAAGACCAGTAGCGGTTGAAATGTTTACGATGTTCTGTTATCCAAAATAATAATTAATAATAACTAATCCGCCTTTGTTTCTTTTTATTAAATAGTGGGCTTTCATTTTTTTCTTTTTTGGTTTTAGAGATTAGCCTACCTCAGGTTATTATTTGCGTAAAATTGTTAATATTATACAGACACTGTAGCTTGTTTAGGTTTTTAATCAAAATGTATTGATGTATTTAGTCTGTTGATGATGAGAGGACCGAGCCAAGAAGTGTATAAGACATTAATACAATATTATTAGTATTAATATAAGTTAAAGCAGGCAAAAGATCTCATCTTCTGCGATGTTTCCCAGTTCAAAGAATGCGCCGCCTCGCGGGGAAACACGCACACGCGCACGCACGTTAGTTGCACTACATTAGTATGGACATCTCATATCATAGACGCAGTTTTTGTTTAGTGGTGCTGCTATTTATTAAACCTAACTCTTACACAAACTTGTTGACGTTAGTTCTAAAACTAAATATGACGGTTGATTTTTGAGCCTTTTATATTGTAAGGGCCACTTCAAATATTTCAATGTATTTTCAAAAGTATTAGCAAGTAATTGCCAAATCAGGACAGTCTGCAGACTGCAGTAAACTCGCTGATTATTCAGTTATTAATAAACATGGTTGAACAGTAAAATAATAATACACACATCCAAAAAATCACTTGTGATTTGATAGTGTATGTAAATGTAAATTACTAGAATGTCACAATCTCTAATAATCCACTCTCTAAGTAAAGCCTGTGTCTCAGTTATAATGTGTAAAAATGTTCTTTTGGTAATCTCAGTTTTCTCCCGCTATGAAATTCATCCTGTGCCTCGATCTCACATTCCCACCTTCTTGAATTCCCCTGTGATGTTCTCACACAACGCTGTAATCTGTTATTTCAATCTTGTGTAATTCATGTCCCTTTAATTACGTACTCCGATATCACACAGACCGTGACGTGCACATAGTCGCACAGACACACACATAAACAGAGAGTGAACAAGACAGTGGGAAAACGAAAGTGTACGCTTTAGCCACCATCTCTTTTTTTATGCGGAAGCAACTTTAAAGATAACATGCAGTTGTGCGGATTACCTGATGTACACAAAGTATATGTGTGACACAGTTGATTCCCATTAGACAAATGATGAATTTCTCCCTTAGAGCCACCCTGAGGCTCCTATTGGCTCATCCTCCAACTTCCTATTTATATACGGCCAATCACACACTCCTCCCGGGAAGTGTTGGCCACAGCTGGTGAAGTGTTGATTGAAAACAACCTGAAGGCTGACGGCTGTATTGCCCCTCAAGAGCATCCATACACACCCTTGATGAACACTTCTGTGACAGAAAAACACACACATCTCAGAGACGCTTAAAGTTATACTAAAGTATGAATTTGCTTGTCTTTTATCATCTGTATTCTCTGCAGGTTCGTTGGGTGTCAGGAGATATCTCAGGACATGGAGGGTTGCTAGTTGGATGAGGATTCATTTCGGGAGCAGCTGAAAGTGTTGTGTCACATTTTCAACCCAAAACTCTTTCAGTGGCCTGTCTTGGAAGCAAATTTGCCAGTTTTGTGAGATGGTCACATGACTGCAGCATGATTACCAAAAAAGCCAATTTGCAGCTTTAGCCCGCCTCAGCGAACAATCAGAGACTCCCACCCACACACACTCCCACACATGTGTGCCGTTTGCCATGAATCTGGCCACCAAGCTGCGGAGGAATCTGAGGAGGCTGGTCATCCTCCTCGCCACCTTCTGTATGGTCAGCGTTTTAGTCTCCGCCTACTACCTTTACACAGGCTCCACCCAAGGACTGGACCTTGCGGACCGTGCCGCAGGTCCAGACTGTGCCGACCTCCGGGTGCTCCCTTTCCGACAGTCAGAGCCTCGGACGCCTAAACCGATCGATCCGTCACGTAAGGATCCGGTGGTGTTGGTATTTGTAGAGAGTCAGTATTCTCAACTGGGACAGGACATCATCGCCATTCTAGAATCCAACCAATTCCGTTACCATGCCGAAATTGCGCCGGGAAAGGGTGACATCCCGCCTCTAACGCACAATGGCCGTGGACGCTATGCACTGGTCATCTACGAGAACCTTCTCAAGTATGTTGGGATGGACGCATGGAACCGTGACCTTCTGGATAAATACTGTGCCGAATACAGCGTTGGAGTCATCGCATTTCATCGTGCAAGTGAAAACTCCCAGCCTGCACTGCAGCTTAGGGGTTTCCCTCTGACATTGCGAACAAATGTTGCACTTCGAGACTGCTGCGTAAACCCCCGCTCACCTCTGCTTTACATAACGCGGGCGGAAGTGGATCGTGGCCACTTAACAGGAGAGGACTGGACTGTGTTTCAGTTCAACCATTCCACGTATGAACCAGTCCTATTAGCTAAAACTCGGCCCAGTGAGAGTGGAGGGGCCCAGATCATACCAGGTCCCCAGGGTCTCCATGCTACCGTTGTGCAGGACTTGGGCCTGTACGATGGGGTGCAGCGTGTGCTGTTTGGACATGGGCTGAGCTACTGGTTACACAGACTTATACTGGTGGATGCCATCGCTTATCTCACAGGCAGGAAGCTGTCACGATCTCTGGAACGTTACATCCTGGTTGACATAGATGATATTTTCGTGGGGAAGAAAGGGACAAGAATGAATGTGAATGACGTGAAGGTAAGAGAACTGTTCAAAGAATTTGTGTTTTAATTTGAGAAATGTTTAAAATGTGAAAAAAGTTAAATCAAAATACATTTTAAGTCACTTTATTTTAAGGTCCAGTTCTCACTATTAACTATTAACTACGACTTCTACCTCAATAAACTCCTAATTTCTGCTTATTAATAGTTAATAAGGTAGTTGTTTAGTTTAGGTATTGGGTAGCATTAAGGATGTACTGTAGAATATGGTCATGCAGAATATGTGCTTTTTATGTACTAATAAATAGTCAATATGCTAGTAATATACATGATAATAAGCAACTAGTTAAAAGTGAGAATTGGTCCCTATCATTTTCTTAATAAACAAATTATTAATTAGAGCCTTTAAATGGTGTCATGATAGGATGTGTCAACAGAGGCATTCTACATTATACACATACATCTACCATAAAATTATTTCCAATCTGTTTCAACTAATCACCAAAGACAAAACAAAGACTAGTACCCAAGCTCTAATTAGCTGTGTGGGATTTTGGAAGAAGCATTTGGTTGATATTTAGTCTGAGTTCCCCTTCGCAGGTGTTCACGTCTGAATTACTGAATGTGAATGTTTTTGTGGACAAGAAGGGGATGTTGTGTGTGTGTGTGTGTGTGTGCGTGTCACTGAATTGGAGTGGGTGTTTGAGTTGGCCTCAGTCAGTATAAAGAGGCTATTTAGAGGGACAAGAGCAGTAAAATGGTGTTCATTCTCTCTTTCACACACTCATTCATAATCTCGTTCCCACGTTTGGCCCTCTCTGAGGCTGTTCAACAGATTGAAGGGCCGCTCACACTACATTGTGAGATGACTTCATGACTTCCAGAGCTTTCAGATTCAAGTGCATGCACATGAGTGTATATAAATTAATGCAGGCATTATGCAACAATTAGAAACGGATACATTGATAGGAGAGAGTCAAATATTTAAAAGAACAGTTCACCTAAAAATTAAAATTCTGTCATAATTTACTGATTTTGTTCCAAACCTGTATGATGTTATTCTTTTTTTTTTTCAGAGTAGAGTTTTTTTGAAGAATTGTTACACAGCTCTTTCCAAAGTTTGTAGTGAACTGTTAAAGGACAGAAAACCCCATAAACATAGTCCATACAACTTCTAAAAGTCTTCTCAAGCTGTCTGATAGGCTTTTGTGAGGAACAAACTAAAATGAAATTAAATGAATGAAAATTGAATGAATATCCAGTTGGGGAAATTCAGTACAATGGCAGTACATTGTGACTCACTTTAACACTTAACAGAGCATTTAAAGAGTGTCACCAAAAAAAGGTTCCAGGTCTGAAAATGGCAAAGCTCAGAGCCCTAAACGCACACTAAATCTAAGGCTAAGTGGATTTCATCATTTATCATGTTAAAGAACTCGCGTGTCAGGTTTGGAACAAATTTTCCTGAAACTTTGTTATCGCATTTGTTAAGCAGTTTTACAACATTTAAATAGACATGTTGGTAAGTACAAATTGAGTATACGTGTATTTCTGTGGCGCTCCCATAAATATTTAATAAGGGAAATTATAAATGAGGTACCTAACATTCACACATCTTTGTCACATTTTAAAATATTGAACAGACTGGACACAGGAATGGCACATTCTTTATGCTTTCTCCTTATGGGTCATTTCCTTGTTAACTGTCCCTCCGATTTCAAACAAAAAGACTCTATAAACAGCGTGATACCATTATGCCTAGCATGGGTACACATTTAATTTCCGAATCTAATGTTCTCTGAGAAAGGTTAGTGGCTAAGCACGTGACACCTCCCCAGATGTTGCTAGCTAAGAATGTGCACTGTCAAATTCTTCCCGATTGGTCTGAGCTAATTTAGACCTGGCAAATGAGCCAGCAGTAAGATGGAGGTTCTGGAGGGGGTGCTCAGGGAGAGAATTAGAGTTAGTCGCTCTGGAGCACGACTAAAATGTCAGTGGAAAATTCCCGGAAGATTCTGGGGAAAAACAAGGCGTGCAGTGATGGGGGAGAGAAGTGGGAAAGCTTTGATCCACCAGCCATTGTTTTTAGCCACTGTTACTGCTGGCTATAGAGAAGCCTCTGACTGTTTATGACGGGCTGTTCCAGAAATCCAGAACAGGTGCGTGTGTGAGGAAAGGCCGATACTAAGCCAGTGGAATGAAATGGCAGATAACAGCTAATCAATGGAAACCCATGGTTCTTAACTGGTGGGTCGCGAACCAAAAATGGGATACGAGTCTGTTCTGATAGGGTCAGGATGGAATAAACAATGCCAAATACCAAAAATAAAATGCAACTAATCATATATTCACACACTGTTAGGGTAATTACCTTATAAGGGAGGAGAAAACATTCCCTATATATGTTGCTGTGTATTAGTAGAAACAGCTTTGTGGAAAGTAGACAACATGTCTTCATTCTCAAAAACGAAGTAAAACAGCTTAAAACAAAACACACCCAGAATATGTCAAATATGTGTTCACTTAAATTGAATATATTTTGGGTTCTAAAGCAAAACAAGTTGAGAACCACTGGTTTGTAAAATATCACAAAATACTATTTCTCTGTTAGATTACTGTTACAATCATACAACAGATACTTCTTGACTTTTGTTAGAATAGGCCCATCTCATGCATTTGTAGAGAGTATAAAGATGAGAGAGAGAAAACAAGAGCCAGAGAGAGAAAGGAACCCTGTGTGCTCTAGATGTAGGTGTTGTAGATTAGAATGTCACTCTTAGTGACTGGTTGCCATATCTCCCATCAGCCCATGGGACAGACTGAAAAAACAGGGGACACCAGTGATAAATGACTTGATGCACACTTGCACACACTCACAAACACAAATGGGATTTACCCTCACTTTACGTGTGTGTGTGTGTGTGTGTATGTGTGTGGATTCCCCAAGCAGAGATTCTGCTGAAATTGCAGTTAAAGTGACCTTGTGTTGGTGATTGTATACCGGGGAATTTCAGTTGTGTGTGTAAGGCAGTTGTGTAAGTGACAGCATGTGTAGTACTGAACTTAAACTATAGTATAATGGAGTATTTATGAATTTCATTATGTACACTTGGGGAATATATAAATGCAATAATATTATTTCAATTAAAAATAATTGTTTTGTATTTTAATATATTAAAATTGAATTCATTCCTGTGATGGCAAAGACGAATTTTCAGCAGTCATTACTTGAAATAGAAATCTTCTGTAACAATGCAAATGCCGTAAATGCCTTTACTGTGCCTTTAATTAATTTAATACATCCTTGGTGACTGGGATATTTGTCAAAAGTCACCTGTTATGATACTCTTTGGTATCTCCTTTAAAGGTGTCTTGAGTAAAACAGCATCAAACAAAGCATACACAATGACCTGAACTGGAAGGGATGTGACTTGTTTTACAGAATAAGGAAGTTTTCTGAGCATAACCCCTATAAAAGTATTATTTGCTTTAAAAAAAAAACATCTTACTGGCCCCAAACATTTTAAAGATATTGTGAATTAGCCTACCACCTTTTTTATGATTTTATTCTTTTCCAAAAACAGTTTTGCACTAACGTTATGGTTTTGTATATTTGTATGATTTAACATCAAGCATGATAGCATTTAATGCCTAATTATACCAAGTACGGTACTAAAATCAAAAAGCAACAAATAATAAAGACGACTATTATCTCCTCAGCTGCACTCTGTTTTAGTTCATTTAGGTCAATCAGACTATTTTAGTGAATGGATTCAATGATTCATTTTTGCCATCACTCAAAAATGTTCACTGAAGTCCCTGTGCAGCTTTTTCATGTATTAAAATGTTGGAGGCAAATATATATAAATAAATATTGCAGTTTATTACTATGCGTATTGCTTACAGTTGTGGAAAACCATGGAATGAATTAATTATTGCTTAACTGGATTTTGATTGTACTTGACATCTTGCATGAATTCTAATTGGCTTCAAATGCTAGTTGGTCGAAATAATGGTTTCTCTGAAACAAATCGCTCTTTTCATTTCAAAGCAAATGCATAAATATTGAGACTGTTAGCTATATCTTTTGGCCCTAGTACACTTACAGCTGGTTTGTGTGTGTGTGTGTGTGTGTGTGTGTGTGTGTGTGTGTGTGTGTGTGTGTG